CATAGTTTTTGAAATTTCAATCATTTTTCGTCTTATAAGTATCAAAAGTTAATTGACTTGAGAATAAAGTATGAATTGTCTTTTAAGGTTATACATTAACCCTAGTACGACCAAGCTCGGTCATTTTTGACCCATTCTTTAGAACTCCTCCTCGAAAAACGAATTTCGCACCAAGTTAAATGAAACCAGCTGATATTTTCAGGGTATGTTGGAGCTGTAATGGAGAAGCTACGGTAAAATTTTCAGTTCTATATTATGACATTTAAAGGAGATACTACATAAACAACGGTCAAATATAGCTCATTTGGCAATCCAAATCTCTCTTTTGTTGCTTATACAATATATTGAATATCTTTTTTGTTCGAAAGAATATGTCGAGATGCAAGGCATGACGGAGTCCTTGTTTTAAATTAAGACGAGCTCAAGCATGTTCTGCATTCTAACATGCTCTGTCGATGAAAAAAAAATTTAATATATTGTATAAGCAACAAAAGAGAGATTTGGATTGCCAAATGAGCTATATTTGACCGTTGTTTAGGTAGTATCTTCTTTAAATGTCATAATATAGAACTGAAAATTTTACCATAGCCTCTCCATTACAGCTCCAACATATCCTGAAAATATCAGCTGGTTTCATTTAACTTGGTGCGAAATTCGTTTTTCGAGGAGGAGTTCTAAAGAATGGGTCAAAAATGACCCAGCTTGGTCGTAGTAGGGTTAAACAAATTCTGGGAAAATTTTTTTCCTACCACAAATCACCTGTGGTCCCCCACGGCTATAATTTATGAGAGCTTTTTCCCGTGGTCAGTTTTTCGAAGGAAAAAGATTTTCCTATAACCTGTTTAATCCAATGTAATTGTTTACGCTGATTTCGAATACAATACTCATTTTGATTCATTTTCGTGTCTTATCAATGAAAATCGTTAAAAACTTTCAGTTTTCTTTGAAAAACCATTAAAAATAACCCCAATCAAGAAATTTGTGACCTTTGTTTAGCTTCGAAGGCCAACTTTTTTGATATTTTATTACCATTTTGTAGAGAATTGAAAGCGGTATAACATATCCAAAACTCAGCTTGGTCCCATTTGGTTTAAATAAATGATCGCGAATATACTAAAAAAAATCGACCATTATGAGGCCATAAATTGAGACCCTTTACACTCTTGTTAGTCTGTGGAGTCCCAATAGATAAATGATATATGATAATTCAAATAGCTCATTTTATTCAGCTTTCAATGCTCTATCTTTTGGTATATGTTACGAAAAAAACTCTCTGGCTTGTTAGAGTATAAGCTCACTAGACATTGGTAGAACAATTTATGGCCATTTTTAAGATGATGGATCGATAGTGCTTAAAAGTCGGTACTGGCTAACTTTTCAATGCAACGTCCAAATGAGTTAACAATTTGGATCTGGTGGTTTCAGATTACGCTCTTTCGAATGCAGATAAAAGATCGAAAAATAAAATTTTGACCAGTGCCTCGTATATAGAGATGTTCCTCGATCCCTTCACGAACCGTCTCTTAAAAAAAGAATAAATTTATTCTTATTCACTTGGTTATGTAACCTTAATAGATTTTCCAGAAGACCATGCCTCACTTTTTGTAGTAGCCTTTGATGGATATTCAAATCGCTCGTCATCTACTTCTTTTATTGTTTTTTTTTTCTACCCAATAGTCAGGCCAAAATCAACAGACAAAATGGACTAGACTTAGCTGTTTTGAAACAACCAATAATGACACGATACATGGTCATTTCATATTCGTCAGGTCGCCTGTGTCTACGTATGTTTTGCTTAAACTGATTCGCAGTTATCATCATGCTTTTTTATTAAAACATGTACAATTTATATAATCCATGTATACGTTGGATAGTTAGGAGATAAAACTAAATAGACCAAGTGTTATATTGAAAAATAAAGAAAAATAATCAAACTTTGATTGTACTCTTCATTTACCTTATACAGTCTTCTGCTTCTAACTATAAGTGACAAAAAAACGCAATGTATTTAGAATTCTTACCGAACGAAATTCTACTTTATTTATTCGATTACTTTAATGATACAGATCTTTTTCATGCATTTTATGGTCTCAATATTCATTTCAACTTACTTCTTTACAAACAATGTCGATTCTATCGCTTTAATTTTGACTCTACGTCAAAACGTACTTTCGATCTGATATGTCAACAACATTTGCCATTGATTGCTGATCGAATCATTGCTCTTCAAATATATAATTACGAGACCATAACACAATGTGATTTATTTGTTTCTTATATACCGTCATTCCATCAATTGACTTGCTTACGATCATTGACAATAGTTAAACTTCGTTCATACAAAGTATTTATAGAGCTCTTAAACAAATGTCATCAACTCGATAATCTTAATTGTTTAAACGTTAACCATTGCCATTTTCCAACAGAGGAAGCTGATTTTTCATTGATTATTGACAAGATTTGGAGTTTACCTAAACTCACTGACTGTCATTTTCGCAACATTTTTACAAGCCCATACTATTTTAGGGCACCGACAATTATCTCGACATCAATGGAACATGTAACAATATTTCATAGTGAACTTTCATCCGATAAAATAAAACGATTGTTTAATTATACACCTCGTTTGAAACGTCTTTCGGTGAAAGTTATGAATTTGCCCAACAATAATTATATAACATCTTCACATCCAAAACTAATTCAATTAAATATGCACTTTCCTTACAGTATAAACGTTTCGACAATACCAGATTTCTTGAAAAGTATGCCTAATTTACGTCATTTGGAGATCAACCTAAGACATAATCTAATCAATGGTCATCAATGGGAACATATCATTCGTAATTACTTACCGAAACTCAAGACATTCCGATTAGAAATGAGATGTGTTCCTCGTGGTAATCAAATTATACAAGAACAAGCTGACAACTTATTTGATTCATTTCGAAATTCATTTTGGATTGATGAAAAACAATGGTTTGTCCGATGTTTTATAGGAAAAGGTGTCATTTCTCTTAACACTCTCTCTAACAAGCCTGATGAATACGAAGAAATTATTTCAGGTCTACATAAATACACATGTTCAGATGATGATTATCGAAAGTATTATAGTTGCATGACTACAATCGATGATATCACATTTTTCAATCATCCAATTCCATCTAACATTCGTCTATCGAATATCACATACCTTTGTATAAAACTTCCCGTCAATGATCAATTTTGGTCAATTGTTCCAAATTTAAACAAGCTAAAGACACTTGTTCTATCATCCTATGATGATACGATGGAATCAGAATTACAAGCTATATTAGATCGAGCACCTTATCTAACTATACTGACTATTCATCAAGATGCATCATTATCTATACAAATGTCATTATTCAAATATACAAATCCATCCATTCGTGAACTTGATTTAACAAATTATGTTCATTATTTCAATGAAAAAGAGTGTCTTCTATTAAGTCATTCATCATTAGGTATTCAATGTGAAGTACTTTCTATTCGAATTAATAATCGTGAAAATATCATTACTCTTGTCAAAAATATGATCAATCTTCGAATATTACGAATTTATCGAAGTGATGAAGAGGATTCAGATCATATATATTTAAAGAGAAACAATGATCGGCCATTTCTTAAGGGAGACAACATAAATTCTAATGAACTTATTCAATGGTTAAAAGATCAATTGCCATCAACGTGTGTAGTTGTTAAGGATTTACATTATGTTCACAATATTTTAATATGGATCTAAAAATTAGACTAATTTAATAATCATCCTTTTTTTATTTTTCATTTAATTGACGATTTATACTGTACCATATCATTTATATTAGTTATTGTACCACATTTATTGATACTAAAAACATCTTGAAAAGAATAAGAGTATTTCTCATTTTATCAATGGTATTCAAATTTTGTCAAGTAGTTAATAATCTTGGCATGGCGGTAGGTGGGTGTGAGTGTGAGTAAAGGAAAGATCTATACTTACACCCACACCCACACCCTTTTTTTCTGATGTAAATAAATATAAATTAAAATCATTTATTGTCACAAGACAATGTCAATCAGTTATTTTAAATGTAATTCCATTTCTACAACATGATTTCGATTCTCAATCAATAAATATAGACGATTGTGATTGCCCACAATCAGAATAATTAATTTACTTTCACAAAGCCACTAATCATATTAAAACACATTCTATGTTCATTTGCGATTAGAATTTCAATCGATTTTCATTTATCTATCATATAGCTTTAATTGTTCGTTTTACTATAATTGCATGTAAACAAATTGTTTTAGATATCATGTATGCAATGAATTTCGTTTTAATAGATGTTTGTTTTTCATGTCATAATCGAATAATATAAAAGAAGTGTTGTTGTGTATATCATATTTGTGTCGCACAACGCTATGTTTTTGTTTGTATGAAATGCTAACTTAGGCAGTTTAAAAAAAAGATGAAAAGATCAAGTCTAGACACGTCTCCATCGTACATTTTATGTTTACATGAAGTAAGTTCACATGGGTACGCGTATTGTGTTCTGTTCTTTTTTTTTGCTCTCTTCATCATTATTTGTTACGCTTAGGAGCACGTCTAAACTGAAGGAGTAGGAGAATGTATCGGTAATGATATCATCTTTTTTTCTCTTTCTTTTTCTTCATTGATCAGTCCTCCGCTTATATATATCTCCTGTATTGTATGTGAAATATTTACATTCTAAAGATATGAATTAGCTAATAATCATCATCGGCAATGGTAGAAGTAAAGCTATTTTTCCATTTTATCCTATATAAATGAAAAAGGAATTTTTTTCTGCAATTCCCTTATTCTACTTTAATCAGAAGAGAACGAAAAGAAGAAAAAAAAGACAGATATATAGTAACATTATTTCTTCATTTTGTTATTTTGCTTTAAGACAATCTATATAAGAAGATAACAGGTTTGATAAACAAATAAAATTACAAAATGTCAGCTACGAATCAAGGGTATGACCAATTCTTACAATTCGAATTCGCCTCCACAAATGCGTGCAATTGAACTTTCAATACTGTCCATTCAACGAGCTATTGAGGTTCTCGATCTTTCTTCTTTACCATCGACGCAACCATTAATTATTGCTGATTTTGATTTATCACATGGTTTTAATTCAATGTATGCTATGAAACGACGATTAGTTCTTGTCATTAATAATAATTTATCAACGAATAATTGGACAATACTTTTCGATCTACTCAATAAAGACACTAATTATAAATGGTCGATCATTTTATGAACAATGTCTTCCATCAAATTCTCTATCTATCGGCTACTCTTCTGCATCACTGCAATGGATGTCATGTAAACCATGCAATATATCGAATCATTGTGTCTCATTATTTTGTTCAAATGATGAATATGATAAATTTAAACGACAAGATCATCTTGATTATTCAAGATTTTTGGAATATCGTTCAAATGAACCTATTCCTGATGAGATGTACTTATTCTTTATTTTCCTTGTTTAAATGATAAAAGATTATTTAGTTTTAAAATTCTTTTTCAACTTTTATACACATGTGCTATTTTATTACCGATTACACAACAAGAATTACTCGATTATACTTATCCATTGTATTACCATACGTATGAAAAATACATTAATTATGACATTTACTCGATTTCAACAAGGAGACTTAACATTGGATGTATTTGTAAAAGACCAAACTCAATTTTTGCGTAGTTGGGCTAAACCATCATTACGCGAAACATTATTAGATCAATTTTGGAATTTATACGAATGAGAAGTAAAAGAACTTTCAAATCAATTCGATTTGTATTGCTTTTATGCCTAATTAATATTGAAAAAAGATTTGATATGATTACATATTAAGAAAAGAAATTAGGGCATATGGTCAAATGTTACAGAATTTTATTTTATTTTTTACATTGTAACATCTATATCTGCTCAGTACTGACTTTTTCCTTAGCTATTCTAAAAATGATGACCATTATGGAATTTCAAAAAATGGAATCTTTTTTGAGCATTTTACTATGAATCGAAGTGACATATAAACAACCATCTTACGTACACTACAAGCTATTATAATATTACATTATTTACTATAACAACTATCATTGCATAGAATAAAAAAAAAACTAAAAACACTGTTCGTTACAGAATTTCATCTTTTTCATGTTTCAAAGTCGAAGGTTTGAGAATCTGAAATTTTTTAACTATCATGATAAAAATATATCATTTCTCTAATTTACAAGTAGTACAAAGATAGTTTTATTCTCACAACGAATGCATATTGGAATTAGTGATTATCTTCCAGAAAAAAAAAATACAATTTAACAAGATTTAAAAGCATACAAATTTATTTAATATATATATGTGATGAAAGAAGAATGGGGACTATATCAGTCATTACTAAGGTATCTCACAACTTGCAACATGTTCGTTAATTCGTCGATTGCAGAGTTCACTTTTGTAATTTCAAACATTCGAATGCAAAGGTGACCATTGGCTGGTCATGCTCATTACTAAGCAAAAGCAAACTTCTTTAATGCATGATCACTCAAATTTTCTTATATGACTATATATTATCAATAATGAAAGAATGAAGAAACATGAAAAGACTTCAATAAAAAATATGGGCGCCTATGACTCGTTCGTCTATAGGAAAATTTCTTTTTCTACAGATATTTTTCTATTTTAGTTCGTAAATCTATATGTCTATATTCCAATGTGTTACTTACTCTCACTATTTTGAGTTTTATTAAAAGTTTGCTTATATGTTCTCAAAAGAATAATGAGTTTTTAGTTGAAAGTGTCGTAGATTTGATCTTCGATAATAAGACTTTTTGTCATTTATATATTTAAAAGTTTTCTAATTAGAATTATGTGTTCACCGATAATTGAATGACATATATATATGACTATTGCTTATAATCATATGAAAAGGTGAGTTTTATAAAATCGTTCAAAAACAGTTGTTCTCTTCTCATTGAAAATTCTTTAATAACGTATATCAAAGAGTGAACAAGTTCGATGCATTCCAAAACATAGCAGACGAATAATCGATGATTCATTCAATATATATTCTATTTTTGTAGGAAAAAAAAACAAAATCATCATATATATATATTCGAATTCTTTCTTCTATATCATTTAGAATTTTCCAAATAGACACATGGATCATATGAAACGCAAATTAAGTTTTAATCAATTATCTGAAGAAAATACAAAGAAATTACGAAGTAAAGTTATTATTCCACAAGTAACATAAAAACTTTTTTTCTATTATCATATAGATGAGTTGTTGGATGAATTAATAATTTCTTCTATTGAAAGTTTATCGAATGAATTATTCTATGAAATGTTCGATTATCTGGATGGTATTGAAATATATCAAGCATTTTCAAATCTTAATACTCGTTTTCAACAACTTCTTACATCTTCATCTATTCTATTTAAAATTGATCTTAATCATATAACATCGAAAGAAATATTTATGATTAATTATAAACAAATTAAACATCAAATATATTCAATTTATTTTCAATATCCAGTCAATATTAATCAATTATTAATATCGTTTACTATCGATTCTTCATTTAATCGTCTTGAATCACTTGTTATTGAAGATATTCAACCAGATAAACTTATTTCATTTCTTATTAATTTAAATTCTTTACCACAACTTTTCTCATTAAATATCAGAACAATACATACAATTGAAGATCTAAATAATATTTATCGATTAATTTTTGCATTACCTAAATTAAAATATAACAAACTCTATTTATATGGAAATGAATGTTCAATTTCAATTCCAATGGCTATTGAAAAACAATTTAGTACTATTGAATATCTTCATATTGCTCATTGGTATACATTCGATGAACTTTCTGCTTTAATTTCTTATACACCACAACTTCGTCATCTGAATCTTTCACATGCAAATCAAAATCATTCAACTATTGAAACCATGTTACCAATTACTTTTGATAATTTGACATATATTAAGATGTATACAAACTATATTAACTTTGATGAATTTGAAATATTTATTAAAAATATATATTCGAAATTAAAAGTTTTATATGTTACTTTTTTATATCAAGATATAACTTTTCTTTATGCTTATCGATGGGAACAATTAATTTTACGATATTTATCTCAATTAGAAAAATTTTCTTTAAAATATTATGAATATAAATATTCAATATATTCTGGAGAACGAAATCAATTCATTTCATCATTTTGGATTGAACGAAAATTGATATTTAATGTTGAAATTAATGAAAATAATATTCTTTATTTAGTTTGTCCATACAAGTACATTGCAGAAGATTCTTTTATATGCATATAGATTGTTTGTTTGTTTTTTTTTTCAGAAAAAAATGGTATGAATATAATAATTCTACTGTTGAATATTTAACATCTACTCAATTGACTATCAAATACGTCTTTTATTATGAAGCTGCTAACGATCTATTTATCTATATTAAACGTATTTTAAATATAGTACAAATTTATCATTTGGATATTGAACAAAAAATTTCTATTGGTAGATTAATGCAAATTATACATTTATTACCAGATCTTATTACATTAAAAATGAATTCTTTAACATGTCATCGATCAAGAATAAATAAAGAATTTCCTACATGTTCATTAGAACATGCAAGTAAGATTAAAAAAGTTTATTTGGAGACGACACAAGCAATTCAAGAAATTTATTTTCTTCTTAATATTTGTCCACATATGGAATTTCTTAATATCGATTCTATTAAGAGTATGACTATTGAATTATTTGTACGAAATATTTTAAATAAAATTAATAAAGATCATCATAAAGATCTTCGTTTATTATGTATTTATGTTTCAAAAGCAGATGATAATATGATTAAAAGTTTAAACAAAATGATTGATAATGAAAAAATTTTATCGAATTACACAATTCATCATGAACTTGATAATATCTATTTACAATGGAAATGATTTTTATTTTGTTGACGTTTTTTTTTTTATATATTATATCTTCTCGTTTTTATTGTTAATAATATGTACAATATGTTTAGAAAAATATTTTAATGCTGAACCAAATAAATATGGATAATGATTCATTGGATATTTTCTGTATAGAAGAGAAATAAAGAATAAGACATGATCGTAGCTTCCTAATTGTGGGCAAAATTTAAGACAATTAGTGGAAAATGACTGCTTTTTGGAATAATTGAAATTCTATTATCTCAGTTTTTTTACTGTTTCCAAATTACGGTCACTCGTTCGTTACGTAGTTATTGTGAAATTGAAGCATAACTTGTGTGTGACTGATGAATATAAAATATGAGAAAGAGAATAATAACATCTCATTTGATACAATAGATACTAAGTTTACGTGGTCTTTCTTTGAGGTTAAAGTTTCAGATTAGTTTATTGAGTTTTTCTTTTGAAAAGTCCAGAAATATGAACTAAAATTTTCACAAAACAGCAGTAGATAAACATTTAGGCTCTCTAATGCACGATAACGGAAAATGACTGCAAACCTCTATATGCCACAAGATAGAGCGTTTGACGCTCTACAAAACCTACTAGATCACAATTCACCCAAATTCGGAAGGCGTTTTTTATTATAAGATAAAGTTTGTGTTGCAGTGAACTTTTTGTGGTTCAATTAAAAATTTTTCTTAAAAAATGGAAACATTTTGAATCATTTATGATTCGATAGAGCTGAGCATGGGCTATCAGAATATATATAGAATGTTTCAATTTGTTCTTGAAATAAAAGAGAAAATGTTCTCGCAAAAATGAGAACTTTTCACTTTAACCATGATTTTCCGGAATTTTTGAAAAATGTATTTTGCCAATTTCAACCCTAATCCATAATCAAACCCATAATAATTTATTACCAAAATGATCAGCTCATTGAGCTCTACAAACTCTGAAAATTTCAGTCAATTCTGAGAAAGTCGATGTAAACGTGGTATGTTTCCCATGGATTTACTCTATATCTCTTGAGATAAAAAAGTAGATACGTTTACAAAATAAGGATCGAGAGGGCTCGAGACCTCTGGAATTCATGTGATCCTAAATTTTATTATTTTTAAACTAGAACTTGTAAATATAGTTTTCTGTATGCGGTTTTTGACGCTGAGACCGAATAAAATAGTTTCGAGTTTTTAAAATTGATTAAAACTGAATTATTCTGTTAGAAACACTGTGAAAAACAAAAACTAGTCCCTTCTGTAAGAACAGACACTCTTTCAGTTTTTCAGGTAAAAATT